ACTACCTTCTGTCGCTGCACCGCAATGCAAGATACTATGGTGCCAGCATCTGTTATTATTCCGCCTGTGGCAACAATGAATGACGATGAGGAACCTGTTCTTCAAGATCATATAGAACCTATTACCACACAAGAGGGGGAGCAACAACAGCCTCAAACAGAAGATATGTGCCAAATGTGGAGACCCCTAGAAGGTCTCAAAGAGTTAGAAAATCAGCTATTCCTGCTGACTATGAAATATACAACACTGATGAATTTCAAATGGAGGATGATCCCACCTCATTTGAAGAAGCCATGAGAAGTGATCATTCATCAAAGTGGCTTGAGGCCATGGAAGATGAAATGAAATCTATGAATGCCAATAAAGTTTGGGACTTGAAAATAATTTCTAAAGAAGCCAAAACAGTAGGCTGTAAATGGGTCTACAAAACAAAACTTGACTCTCAAGTGAATATAGAGAGATATAAAGCGTGACTTGTGGCAAAAGGCTTTACGCAAAGAGAATGAATTGATTACAATGAGACCTTTTCTATAGTCTCATGTAAGGATTACTTTAGAATCATAATGGTATTAGTGGCACATTATGATTTAGAATTACATCAGATGGATGTAAAGACGACATATCTCAACGGGGACTTGGAGGAAAATATTTACATTGCACAACCGAAAGGTTTGTCATGGAAGGAAAAGAACGAATAGGATGCCGCCTAAAGAAATCCATTTATAAATTAAAATAAGCTTCAACTTAAAGTTTGATCAGACAATAAAAAATTTTAGGTTTAAAGAGAATATAGAGAACAATTGTGTCTATGCAAAGTTTAAGAATGGGAAGTTTATTTTCCTTGTCCTGTATGTGGATGATATTTTACTTGCTAATAGTGGTGTTAGACTAATACTGGAGACAAAATGTTTTTGTCCTCAAAATTTAATATGAAAGATCATGGTAAAGCTTCGTTCATTATAGGGATTGAGATTCACCGAGATAGAAGTAAAAGGGTATTAGGACTGTCACAAAAGGCATACATAGAAAAGATCTTAAAGAAATTAAATATGCACAAATGTAGTCCCTCACCTGCTCCTATAGTCAAGGGCGACAGATATGGGGATTTTCAATGCCCCAGGAATTAGTATGAGATCGATCAAATGAAAACGGTTCTATATGCTTCAGTTGTCGAAAGCTTACAATATGCTCAAGTATGCACGCACCTTGACTTGACATTTGTTACCGGGTTACTTGGTAGATTCCAAAGCAATCCTAAAATAGAACATTGAAAATTAGTAAAGAAAGTCTTGCGTTATTTGCAAGAAACAAAAAGCCTCATGATGATGTATAGAATATCAGATTCACTCCATATAGTGGGATATTCAGATTTTGATTATGCGGGAGATGATAGAAAATTCACGTCTGAATATGTATTCACTCTCGCAGGGGGAGCTATTTTATGGAAAACCTCAAAGCAAACCGTCACTTCATCATCCACAATGTATGCCGAGTTTGTAGCGTGTTATGAGGCAATGGGGCAAGTGAACTGGCTAAAGAAGTTTATACCTGGTTTGAAGGTGGTTGACGACATCTATAGACCACTTAAGTTATACTGCGATAATAATCCGGCAGTACAGTATGCTCACAACAATAAGTCAAGTGGTGATGCCAAACACATTGACATAAAGTATTATGTTGTGAAAGATAAAGTCTGGGATCATGTCATAAGTCTTGAGCATATAAGAACCAAAAAGATGCTCGCGGATCCACTTACAGAAGGCTTACCACCCAACGTGTTCAGAGAACATGTAGCCGGCATGGGTTTAAGGGAAAACCTATAATTGCTGGACAAAAGAATGTCCAAAGTTAAGTATCTATTTCAGAACAGAGTGGTGTGTTGTAGTTGTTAAATCTACCGGCAATTGACTGTGACGATGAAACATGCTCTATGCGCTAATCTGTAATGGAATGAACAAAAGTAAATGATATGAAATTAAAAAATGGTAGGAGCTCAAGTGGGAGATTGTTATATTGATATATAATCCTAAACTGGGTCCAACGGCCCAGTTGGACCTTTGATCCGCGTCCTGATCGGGGACGTCCAGCCCACTATGACTGGAGGGGTCCTGTCACGCTGCACTATATATAGAGGTGGGGGCCAGCGGCTCTGAGTACGAGGTTTACCATGAGCCGAGCAACCCATCGAAATCTACGTCGACTACTTCATTGATGTCTTCCCCGAACGTCGCTGCCCGTGCGCAGACTTCACCGACAAACGAGATGGCGGCTTCGGATCATCTGCTTCTGGATCATCTTCCTCTGCAGTGTCAGGTTCGACACATTCTTCTTCTATTCTTCTCTGTCTCTCTACTCTCGATATCACATTCACAATAAAGAGAATCCGTTAAACCTAACCCTAGATGATCTTTTCTATCTCAACGTCACCTACTTCCAGCGCATGGGCGCCGGGCCGCCGGCTTTGCGGTCTCTGTCCACGGCGTAATGGCGGCCGGGCGCGTTCATGGAGGCAAGGCGGCACCGCGTGGCCGCGGACCACGGCCTGCCCGACAGCCCCAACGCCGTCGTGCCCATCAGCGTGTTCTGTCTAGTGCCGCAGTACGCGCTCCACGGCATGAGCGACGCGCTCTCGACGGTTGGGCACATGGAGTTCCTGTACACAAGTTGCAACGCATGCACAGCTCGGCGGCGGCGGCGGCGACGCTGTAACAGCGTCGAGAGCCTACTTGGTCAGCGTCGAGAGCCGATCATGTGTTCTTCAGCCTGTCAGATGCTGATGCGGCTCGAAGAGACGAGGAGCGATTGGGCTGGGACTTCAGCAGCTATTCATTGGGATACCAAAAGCCGGTTGAGGCGCATCAACCTCTACTCTACACTCTGTCGCTCTGCTTTCCCTACACAGCTGCTGCCACCATCGCCCCCCCCCCTGTCTCAATCCTACATAGTCTTAGGATCGTTTTATATTTGAAATTAAAAAAAAACACTTGACCACAAAATTCCGCTTTGGTGGTTTCAAGTTATTTTGCAAGTCTGAGGCAAAAAGTTTTTTTACCTCCATAAGTAGCTCTTGATTCGAAGCTGAACGATTTTGGATCTTGCTTAAAAATTCTAAGCTTTCAACTGAAACTCATGGAACTCAATTAAATCATTGGCTTCAAATGAAAATTGTAAGTGGTTAGACATGTTTCGGGCAGCTAGAGAAAACAAACGGACGAACCCAGCAGCCTTGCAGCTAGGCCAGGGATATACCACAGTATAAACGATGTGTCAGAGAAAAAGGAAAAGAAAAATGACTACAGTGGTACACGGTTCTTGAATTGGTATTCATCTATTTAAAATTAAAAATCTCAGTGACTTCCAAATTGTCTTTCAGAGTTCTGTCGAACATCTGAAAGTTCACGAGTTCATCTCAACTAAAGTTTTTTTTATGTCACCTACAAGCTTCTGAATGTTACATGAACTCAGTTTGAAGCTTGTACATCTTATCTAAAAGTCTTGGACAGAAAAACTCACAGACTATGCCCTGTGTTTATGTACAACACAACACTTTGCACTACGGGTCTACGGCAAAGCAAAATGTTTGACTCGAGGTTAAACATTTAGGCCCCGTTCGCTTCGCTGAAAAAACAAGCCGAAACACTCTTCCGGCTGATTTGTTGTGAGAGAAAAACACTGTCCCGGCTGAAAAAACAAGCTGAAAAAGACGGATTATAAGAGAAGCGAACAGGGCCTTAATGCAAAGCAAAACTGCAAAACGAAAAAAAGGGCTCGTCAACTGGTTAAGCAGGTCAACAAATCTCATGCACTAAGTTGAAAGCAGAGGAATAAAAGATTTAATTGAGTTGATCATGGAAGAACAATCAATATGGAGTTGACAGTTGTTAAATATCATGATATTCACAGTAGAATGAACCAGGAAAATAATATATAGAAACTCGGATGACAATTGGCTTGCAAGGAAGTGTGAAAGATCAAGCAGGATTGCAAAAGGAAATTGGTATGTCATGAAACAGTGCCAAAGGGCATTTTCTATTTGTGAACTTGACTGACTTAAGGCCCATGATTTAATGAATTAACAAATGTAAAACAAAGCAACCTATCAGCCTGTTCGCTTGTTAGTTTTAGCTAGGGCTTTTTATCCAGCCAACAGTGTTTTACTCTCACAACAAATCAGCACCAGCCGAGCTTATCAGCCCAGAAACCAACCAGCGAACAGGCTGTATGATTTCACATTCACTACCAGAAACCATTTCTATTAAAAAATTGGAATACAGTATTCCAACCTCTGCATTGAGGATGCACACAGCCAGCAAATTACATATCCAGCAATTTTGTGGTGAACATGTTTCAGTTCACTGTACACATCTGTAACTATGGTAGACATAACCAAATGTCATAGGAAAACATTCGCACCGGACAGAATATCATACTAAGGGGAACAGCACAGGACAAACCCACTACATTGTTGTATCGCAGGGTAACATAAAGTTTTGCACCAGTGCGATTTCGATACAAGCCTTGACCAAATTAAGGAACACCAACATCACAACATAAATGCATGGAATTTTTCTTTTTGCGAATGAAATGCATGGAAAATTAATCAGCCTAGCATCAATAAATGCACAATAACAAACTGTGGCAGAATAAATCTGGATTCAGGATGCCAAATTCTTAATAAACACTCCACAGGAATCTGCTGAGATATGAAACAACAGTTAAGCTTAGATTTATCCAATTATCCATTACTCCCACAACTATTCGGACACAAAATTTAGCAGAACTGAATGTAGTATCCCAAAAACAGGCCACATTTTTTGCTAGAGAAATCATAAGAAACTGCAGATATCAGTTGATGTCTCACATATAGAAACAATTCCACGCAACAGTAGAATTTTGCAAGATAAATGGTGCTGCTAAGTAATTTCAACGCCTACACAAATATGCTAGCAGAAACATTCCCGACCTTCTTTGGCTTAGCTTGTATGTTGTTGGCTGCAGACTCAGAGAGTGTTGGAATGTTGAAGCACAAAGGCACCACTGTAGAGTTCAGCATTAGCGGTCGGAAGATCAAAAGGGTTGCTACATGAAAAATCAGATGCTGTTTTGGAAGCCCAAGCAGGGGATGCCCCATCAGAGGATGGACTCTTGAAGACAATCAATTTACAGTCTTTACTGGCCCATATTGCAGAAGTCAGAGGCTTCAGCTTGGCATTGACAGCATCTGCTGAAGAGAAGCATTTAGAGGCCACCATGACCACCATCTTCTCCAGGACTTGCGCTCTCTCAGCAATGAACTTGAGGAACGCTAGCTCACTTCTCTTACCCCGAAACTCTTGGAAGACAAATTTCTTCACATGCCTCTGGACACAATCAATACAGCCAGCCTCCTTCCCCTTCCAGAACTTGGGATCAACCTTGCCACTGGGGGTATCATTCAATGACTGCAATAAGATCAAATCAAAGAATACAGAGTTCAGATAGCTATTGTTCTGGGTCAATAGTCACACAACTAGAACCTATCAAAACAAGCTAGCAAGCTGGCGTTGGTGCCATTGATGCTAGATGCCAAATAAACAAGTTGGGGTTGGCAAGTCTTACGAAGATATGTAGCGTCTCGACGTTGAGAAAACAGTTGAAAAAGCAAGGCATCATTTTGACTTCATTGTGGACTTCAAATCCCACCTCCAAAGCCAAGATCTTGACGGTTGGGACCATGGTGCTTGGGCTCATTTTAGTACCCACCTGCAACGCAAAATGTGCAAATAAAATGCACCAGAGCAGAAATTTAGATCACAACAAATATTGGCACACTATATTGACACAAATATACAAGCTAAAGCAGAAACTAGGACCTTGAGGATGGTATTGCCAATCTCCAGTTCGAATCCCGGCTGCCAATGTCCCAGCATGCACAGGTTGGGTGCATGTCCAATCTTGATCCTTGAGCAGCTCTCGCCCGGCACGGCAGGTGATATCATCCACATGAGCAGCCTCTCCAGACGAGGAGCGTCCACCACAGTAATGTGCACTTCGGCAGACGTGCTCACCTGCACGCACCGCAGGCTGCGGCTGATCAGCCGGACTCGAGCCCCGGTCTGGTTTGTGGTGATGGTGAGGACCTCCAGGACGGGGCTCCGGTCGATCAAGAAGTGGAGGTCTCGTTCCTCGATGGCGACCGTGTCGAGGACAAGCTCCCGGAGGCAGGGAAGCATGTAGTGCGCGGGAGCCCGGCGGTGCTGGGGACCCTGCACATGCCGAGGTGCAGGCGGGTGACGGAGGTGCAGCCGTAGAGCGCGCGCGGGAGAGGGTGGTCGATCGGCCACGGGCGGTTGAAAAAGACGAGCTCTTGGACGCCCTTGGCGGCGATGAGCTCCAGCCAGCGCCTGATGTCGGCCTGGTGCGACGCCATGTGGCAGCGGGAGAGGTGGACGCAGCGGAAGGGGCCCGGGTGCGCGTCCAGGACGCGGGACGCCACGACGGCGACGGCCCAGGACAGGACGTCCTCGCCTCCGGGCATCGTGTGGTCGGCCGGGACGTAGGCCGGGAGGATGTGGGCGTCGACGACGGCGAGGGGCACGGAGCGCCCGAGGCCGCGCCAGCGCGTGGCGAGCGCGGCGTCCTTGGCAGGGAGGCGCGACACGACGTTCCTGAGCAGCGAGTCGGGGAGGAGGCTGATGCGGTCGACGCCGTCGGCTGGGGCCCGCGCGGCGATGGCGGAGGCGAGGGGCGCGGCGGGAGAGACGTGTGGGTCGGGGATGGCGTCGTACGAATACGTGAGCATCATGGCCGTGTCCAGCGTCAACGGATCGGGAACGTCGACGCCGTCGCGCTGCATGTTGCTCACGCTGACGTCGACGCTCGTTTGAAACTGCTGCTCCTCCATGGTCGCCGCCGCGCTGGAGCGGAGCGGAGTGGAAGAGGAGCGGCGCTGGAGCGGAGTGGCGTGGCGGCGCGTGTGGATTTGGGAACGACCAGGCTGACTACTCTCTGCAGTGGAGCGATCTGCGCCGTCCGATCCATCCAAGGGCCATCTCACAGGCTATCTAGCAGCCCGGCCATAACACCGTGCAGGATGCGACTTGGTCGGCTCCTGTCTGGCTGTCCGCAGTCCGCCGCCGTCGCCATTCATTCCTTCCCCTCCGCCGCCGTCTGGCCCGCGAGCACATGCGTCGGCCTCCCTTCTCTTCTTCCTCGCTCGCCGCCCGGGTCTCCTCGTTCCGGATGCCGTGCCGCCCAGCTAGGCGCCTCGGGGTCGTTCTCCGCCTTGCCCGCTGGCCACGCAGAGACCGGTTTCCCGTGCGCCAGCTGTGTGGTGCTCGAGCCATGCTGCCGTACGCGGCCACCGTGGTTGACGTCCAGGCGGCCCTTGGCAAGTTCCAGGCCGCGTCATTTTCAGGAGGCCGTGCTTGGACTGGGTGCATCGAGGCCATCGAGCTTGGACTGGGAGCATGGAGCGGCTGCACTTGAAAGCATTGTGTTCTGCAGATTGTGCTTGCGCTGTGTTCTGTGAATTATGACATTGCTAATAATTGTGCAGTAACTGAATAGGAAGCAAGTTTTAGCAATTTGTGTAGGTAGGCAGCAAAAGTGCTAGGAAATTGTGATTGTATGGCAACAGAAAACCAGAGCAAATTGTATAGGTTGTCTTCTGGAATGTTCAGACTGAATAAAGAGCACATGGCATGGATTCGGCGTGTTCGCTGGTTGGTTTCTGGACTGGTTTGGGCTAGCTGGTGCTGATTTGTTGTGGGAGAAAAACACTATTGGCTGGTTGAATAAGCTGCTAAAACCAACAAGCGAACAGGGTGATTGTCTTCTGGAGTGTTATGACTAAATAAAAAGAAGGCATTGCTGAATTTTTTAACTTCAGAGGCTACACAAATGGTATTGTTCCCAGGCATCCAATATCAAGTGCATGTGACATAACTACTAAACTTCAGAGACTACATAGAATGTAAATACGCTGAAATTTAAACTTGAATCACAAAACCAAAAGACATTCTCCAAAAACAAACCCGGATTGAGATCACCAGTTTCTGCTCTCTGCTAAAATAAAAGAACAATAATCCCAAGCTTAGCGGCTCTCTGCAAGGCCTGCAAAAAAAGCAATAATCTCCGTGTTAGAATTAATTGCTATTTAGTTTAATCACCTAGTTACTTGTGTAATCTAGCTTCCTGTGCCAGGTTAATACCCAGCTGGCCCCTTGGGTCTCGGTTTGACTCTTGGGGACTCGGCTGACCCATTGGGCCATCCTCCTCCTCTCTATATATATGTAATCCTCCTATAATCTCCATCTCTAAGTAATCTAAGCCTGTTAGGCTATTGTCTATCATGGTATCAGACTAATCCCGATCCATCCGCTTCCGCTACCTTCCCTCCTAGCGCGCGCGTCCTGCCCATCACTGCTCGATTCTTCTTCTCTCTCACGCCACGCGCCCCCTCTTGCCATTGCCTATGCCCATGGCTGCCATTGCTCCTCTATCATGGCCTGCTGCAGAAAGCTCATGATGAAGCCCTCTCGGCGGCCAAGCACCTGGAAGACGAGGCCTCCTCCCTGCGCTCAACCAACTCCGAGCGCAGCCAGCAGCTCGAGGAGGCGGCCACCATCCTCAAATCCGCCGCTGACGCCCAGGAGTGCGTCCGCGCCGCCGCCGACGCCCTGGACAAGGAGCGCGCGGCGACTGATGCCCTGGAGCAGCAAGCCGCGGCCCTCCGGACTCGAGTCCGCACCGAGTTCCCAGACGACAACGCCGACGCCGAGGACACCTACTCTGCTTCCTCTGAAACCGAGGTCGTCGCCCGCCTCCACAGTCAGGCGGCTGCAGTCCAGAACATCAAGAACTTAATTCCTATCGTTCTTGATCTTCAAGCCTCCAACTACTCCAAGTGGCGTGGCTATGTTCTCCTCATCCTCGGCTGCTTCACGTTGAAGGAGCACGTCCTCAGCAACGTTCCCCGCCCCTACGATCCGGCATGGTCGCGCATGGACTGTGTCGTCCTGTCCTGGATCTTCAACACCATCTCCGCCGACCTCCTGGACGTCATCCACGAGCACGACGCCCCTACTGCCCGGGAGGCCTGGCTTGGACTTGAGCAACAGTTCCTCAACAACCGCGAATCTCGCGCCATGCTCCTCGACTCCGAGTTTCGCACCCTTTGTCAAGGTGCCCTCTCCGTCAATGACTACTGCCGCAAAATGAAAAGCATGGCAGATGCCCTGGCCGATCTCGGCGAGCCTGTCCTGGACCGTACTTTGGTGCTCAACGTTCTGCGGGGACTCAATGAACGGTTTCAGTTCATGTCCCAACTCATCACCCGCCAGAAGCCGTTCCCACCCTTCGTCGACGTCCGTGCTGACCTCCGGTTGGCTGAGCTCAACATGGGGACACCTTCCGCCCCTCCTTCGGCCCTCGTCGCTGCCGCCGCCTCCACCAAGGCGCCCACCCCGACGTCACCTGCGCCTCCTCGTCCTCAGGCTGCTGCTGGACAGACTGTCGCTGGCCAGGTCTTCAGCAACACCCGCGGCAGACGCCGCCGTGGCAGGCGCGGCTCTGGTGGATCTCCGGGTAGTGCGCAAAGCAGCACCCCCTCTGCCACTCCTCCACCGCAGTGGCCGTCGCTCCTCAATCCATGGACTGGCTCCATTCACATGTGGCCAGGATCCACCGCCGGTGGGGTTCGTGGTCCTCCACCACGCGCCGTCCAGCCCGCTCCTCCACAGCAGGCTCTGATGACCGGGGCGCCCCCTGCCTACTTCGCTCCACCACCAGGCTCCGAGACCTACTACCCGCAGGCGTCTCCCACTTGGGTGCCATGGTCGCCCGAGGGTCTCGCCAGTGCCTTCAGCACCGTCTCCCTCACCCCGCCGCCAAGTTCCTTCGACTGGGTGATCGACTCGGGTGCCTCCTCCCATATCACTGTCAACCCTGGTATGGTCACCGCATCACCCTCCTCTTCTTTTCCTTTCTCCATTATCGTGGGCAACGGTGCCACTCTTCCCGTTGTTGGCACCGGCTATTCTGTCCTTCCCGGACCCTTTCGCCTCGATAATGTCCTTGTAGCCCCTGATATCATTAGAAATCTTCTTTCTGTTCGAAAATTTACTACTGATAATCTCGTTTCCGTCGAATTTGACCCTCTTGGTGTCTCTGTGAAGGATCTCCGCACCCGGAACACCCTCCTCAGATGTAACAGCACAGGGCCCCTCTACACCCTACAGCTGTCGTCATCCACCGCTGGGTCGTGCGCCCTTGTCGCCACTCCTTCTCCGACTACTTGGCACCGGCGCCTTGGGCACCCCGGCAAGGCAACTCTTCAGAACCTCGCTCGAACTTCCTCCATTGTCTGCAGCAAGCCTGCAGACGACTCCCTCTGCCATGCTTGTCAGCTTGGGCGTCATACTCGCCTCCCTTTTGCTACCTCCATGTCTAGAGCATCCAAGAATTTCGATTTAATTCATTGTGACCTGTGGACATCTCCTACTATTAGTGTCTCTGGTTTCAAATATTATTTAGTCATTCTTGATGATTGCTCCCACTTTCTGTGGACTTTTCCTCTTCGTGTTAAGTCCGATGCTTTTCCCACTATTTCCCTTTTCTTTGCTCATGTGTCCACACAATTCGGTTGCACTGTTAAATCAGTCCAATGTGACAACGGTCGCGAATTCGACAACTCTGCCTCCCGCGCTTTCTTCCTTGCTCACGGCACCACTCTTCGCATGTCGTGTCCCTATACCTCGCAGCAAAACGGGAAAGCCGAGCGCATGATCCGCACCGTCAATAACATCAACCGCCTCCCCACCAAAACTCTAAACATGAGCACCCCTTTCTTCGCCCTCCATGGCAGCCTCCCCTCCTATCATGATCTTCGAGCGTTTGGGTGCACCTGCTATCCTAACCTTTCTACCACCGCTCCCCACAAGCTTGCCCCTCGCTCTACTCTCTGTGCATTCCTTGGCTATTGTTGATGCAAAAGAGAATCTGCAAACACAAAGGGCTAATACCCGAATCGATATCCAAAGCGTGCCAGTCGATTTGACCTGTTAATCGACAAGGATGAAGATATCGAGCACTTTGGTCCCGACAACAGCCGATACGCCCGGAAGTCACGGCCAAGAGGTACTCACGCTGAACTCAAGAATCGCCAAAGGTTGCAATTGAAACGATGCAACTCGCCGAATCAATGAGAACTCGTAAAAGGAAAAATATGCAAATTGACGAAGTCATTGAAAAGTAAGTAGATGTAAATAGGAGTAAAATTGGTTTTTGATATTCATTCATTTCTATTACATTGCCCCTCAATCTATATTTATACCCTGATCTAAAGAGACAAAACCAAATACGACTAGGACACCAAGTCCATATCTAAGGAAACACGTGACTCTTACATGAATCATACTCTAACAAATATAGAAAAGGAAATCAACTCCTATCTATTTCCCGTCTACCTCGATTCACGATGGAATTCTCACCGACCTCCTTTCCATCGGCATACTTCTGTTTCATCGGTAGTAGTTTTCAAGCCTTCCTTCATCGGCATCGACACACTAATATCTCCAACCTTATCGGCAACGCCCGAGTCTAAATCAACCTTTCCATCAATCACCACCATTCATCGGCAACCATCTTTACAAGTTGATTTTCACGGTACATCAGATATCTGAATTCTCCTCCTGCCGATTAGCCCACTCTGATCATTTTGACACGTGCAAAAAACGGTGTCAACACATGCCCCCCAATTTCGGAGTATAAAACCATTAATGCTCTAAAATTTACTCCAGATAACGTTTGCCTTCGCCCAATTACCGTAACTCATCCTCCAAGCCAAAACTTGATCTGTTATCAAATCTAATCAAACCTAGTCCTGATTCACGCACCTCAGTA